AGCTAGAGCCTCTTCGCTATGCAGAATGGCCTTTCGGAGGTCTCCAGGGTCTCCCATTCGCTGAAACCCAGCAAAGAAACAGCTTCCCAGGGCATGGTGCGCCCTCGCTCGGAAGTCACAATCCTGAGGGGTTGTATCTAGTGCATCTTTGTTGTACCTGGTAGCCTTTTGGAGGTCATCAAGGTTTCCTATCCGCTCAAATCTCGAGAGTAACCCGTTCCCGAGGTTATAGTACATGGCCGCTCGATCGGGGTGATCCCGAGGGGTAGCAGCCAGCGCCTCTTCAGCATGCTTAATGGCGCTTTGGAGGTCACCAAGGTCTCCCATCCTCTCAAATCTCAATAGGAGGACGTTACCTAGGTTATTGTGCCTGCCCGATGTACTTGGGCAATATTGCGGAGTTGCAGCCAGCGCCTTTTCGCTATGATTAACTGCCTTTTGTAGGTCTCTAGGGTCCCCTATCCGCCGGAACCTCGCAGAGAAAGCTTGTCCTAGGGAGTCTTGTATGCGTGCTCGGTCAGGGTGATCTTGCTGGGCAGCAGCTAGTGCTGCTTCATTGTGCTCAATGGATCTTTGGAGATCACCAAGCTCTCCCATCTTCTCAAACCTTAGATTTAATATCCGCTCCCGGTTTCTAAGTATGTCGATATAATTCCGGTCTCTAGAACAAATACTCTCCATTATTTCCTCGCTCATACACCTAGCCGATTCCAAATCATTTATGTCACCCAGCAATTCATATCTTTCCACCAGCGCCACGCTCCAGTTATATAGCATATATACCCGAACGGGATTGCCAATAGGACATCTCTCTACTGCCCTTTCCATCTGAACGATTGCTTCATTAAGGTCTGTGACTTTGCCCCTCCTCCTATATCTTCTAAGCAGCTCCGCACCCGGTACGCTGGGCCGACTGTGCTCACTCTCGAGTTTCCTCCGTATAGCCAGGACGCTACTACATGTTGTAGCACAGGGGATCATGCTCGGTGTTGGTTCATCAATCTTCTCCATCCCCCACACCCATGCCATGTCGAGATCTACCACATCCTCTGTATGCCCATATTTGCTTCCAAACATGTTGTGTAGCTTGGCAGCCACGATGACTCGATTAGGGTGGAATCGGATTATTTCTGTCAGGGTACTTTCGGCCAGCGCAATTGCATCGTTCAGAAGGCCTATGTCGTCTGTTTGCTTATATTGGGAATAGAGTTCATCACTCGTTTTCAGTGTATCACCGAGATCTTCCTGAGACACGCTGACTTCTGGGCCATGACCTAATTTTCTGCTCCAAGTAGCCCCGGTGCCACTTGTGGCTCGCGTTTCTGCCATCTTATGCGCGGAAATATGGGCGGAGAGTGCAACCTCCGCCTAGGATCTTGCTAGGTCTGGTGCCGTATTATTCGGGAACCTGGCGTGTATAATTGAAACGTGCTTATTCTATACTGTGGCGGATGGGGAGCTCTTCCTAAGATGAGATCTTGATAATCATCCGGTAGTTAGCACAACACGGAACGGGGGCCATGCTTTGCCAAATGTTGCTATACCTGGCTAAGGGCTTAATCTTCCTACTACGGTATCGCGCTCGAGTATCCCTAATTCCGGGGGCCTACAGGACGGATACCTCCGTAGTTGAATGAAGCCCGTCGTTAGCTCTCGTTCCTTGTTCGTCCAGTTTTAGGCTCCGCTTCTATATTGCAGCATTTAAAACTCTTGCACGGGAAAGTGTACAAGGTTAGTTAATGGCCCGCGTAGTAGTTTTTTTTGGCTCTCATCTTACCTGTTTCGTTGATGCGGTTCTCGTTTCCTCCCTTACAACGTATTTCGATAGCACACCTATTTCTCCAGTTTTCGTTTTTATTTCTCTTGCGAATAAATTTAGAGCTGTGGAAATAGAATTGTATTATAGAAGGGAGTTGGATACGGGTCAGCGCGTGGTGAGTGATGAAAAGCTCAGGTAAAGCTAATAGCGGGGGTGCTAAGATATGTACTGCACAGAGCTAGCCTAGCATGCTATTTCAAACCCCCCAAGAAGAGGCCAGAGGTGCATGAGGAGGTCAAAGTGTTTGTGTGAGTGACGTTTGACCCCTCCTACTACCTACTAGTACCAGGCTACATATAAGCGGCTGCCGGTATGATGGGCTCGAGTGCTACTCATACATTGTGCACATCATCCCGTTCAGCCTCAGCCTGGCCTCATTCATTATTTTCCGAATCATTTTATGTTACCTGTCATTCGAATTCCGGGGGTAGGCAACCCATACTGGAGTAGCCCATTGCGCCTCGAGAACACTGATCCCCTTAGGAAGGAACCCGATATGTGGAACCACCCTTTACTAGAATTTTGTGAGCGCCTCCCCCTCCCGATGCCATCACTAATCCCTAAATATTCCCGACAGCTGCGACTACCCGCCAAGGTTTGTGTCACTCGCGGGGCCAAATTAAGGTCGGACCTCTTAACATAGCAGCAGTATTCGCCAGACCATAACAAACCCATGCAGGCAAACTCAATCAACAATTACTCACGACAAAAAAAGCCTTGATACACGACTTTTTTTGGCACATGACCCGACAAACCATTACTAAGTGATGTAACCCGGAATCTCCCCTTGAAATCATTTTACCCTTTACTGCCTAAATTACCGGGAGTTTTCAGGACGTGTTTATTACGTTCTTGCCCAAATAGTTGTACCCGACTGGATCGGGATAAGAAAAAAAATATGTTAGGAGGTGGAATTATTAGGATGAAATGCTCTTTGGGAATCATGCTGTCGAGAATATAAGAGAAAGAAAAGTGCGGGGAATTCTAAGTTCACGATTCTATTCAAGTGGTTGGAGAAAACAGCTTCTTAATGATATAATAACCACTAAAGTGCATGGAATTTGTCTGCCGTAAATCTAGGCGTGTATGGAGTGGGGTGAAATTGCGTAGCATAGATACTGCCCTTCGTGCTCGGGGCCTGTCACAACCTTCTCCTTTTTCCCTTTGCGAGTCAGACTTGCACTCACCGGCTATAGCTGCAGACTTCGCATCGTATGAACAGAGACTCCCACGTATATCTAGATATTTTGGTGCGTCTTCAGCTACAAACGGGCAACTTCGGATAAGCTACCACTCGTTGGAAATACAGCTATCAGCCGTACGGCACATCCCGAAAGCCTACCGGCACCTCCAGGCACCCATGAAAAGTACAGGCTCCGGGAAAGCCGAGCCAATGAAACCGAGGTTTGTTTTACATGAAGACTCTTGATGAATCCCAGCCTGATTATGAGCTCCCAACCCCTCACATAGACCAGTTTAGCACCCGCATTCTACAATATATTTCCTACTAGAGTTCGAATTTTATCACTCTGCCTGGCCTCCAGACACCAAAAATTAGAAAGTTTAGGGGTGGGGCGAAGACAGACTTTTCGGTGAATGCTCTTAATATCTGCTGTTCTTAGCTTGGTCGATTTTCCTAAACTAATAACTGAATCGACGGCACCCTATTATACTAGCCCCACTATTCTTTCAATATGAGAGAGAAGGTTGTTGGAAAGGAATTGGATTGAAAGATTCTATGATGGATACAATTTGCGGAGTTCGAATTTATCGAAATTCGTCTCCCGATAATGATCGGCCAGGGTCTAGATATTAATGGAGGCTGATAAGCGTAACGGTAATAGTGCTAAATAAGACTCTGGGTGCGCCCGTCAGAGTCCTGGTTACCTTAGGAGCCGGAGTAACCTAACCCCGCGCAAGTGCGGGTCTCTCCTACGATGCGATACTAAGATCTGCGGTGATTTTCTTTTAACTTTTTGCGCAGCCTAGGGGTGGAAAAAAGTTTTTCGCATCTTTTCCCCAGCCTGAACTGAAGGAGATTACCCAGGTCATAGGGCGACTCCCAGCTAATACCTGTATAGAATCGAATGAACGAGAAATACTGGTAGCGTGGCACAATAATGCAGTAAGCTTGCAAGCCATCAGGAAGTGCGCAGTAACAATACGCTAGTGGATTTTTAGATCATGGTTTAATGGAAGGTTTCCACCAATGATCGAGTACCATTTTCATGTAGAGACCGTGTAACATAGTTGGCCAGGAAGGGGGTTAGGCGTATGAGTGAGCCACCAATTGTGGTTTTAACCAATTCCTCACTACAAGCTTTCGCCAGAATCAAGACTCCGAATTCACTACCAATGGGGAATTTCGAACAAACTATACCCTGCTATTAGGAGTATCAACTACCCTCCCGAAAATCCCCTTCCCACTGTTAGACACCAATCAGGATTTTCAGGGTTTGGGGTTTTAGGTGTCCT